AATTTATGATGTAAATAATTTCATTACAAAAGTTATTAGTTTTCGGTACAATACCTTTCTAAAGATTGTCACCAATTTCATTTTTCTATATTTCTGTCAAATTGTCAACTCAAAAACTTGTTGTCTTTATTATTAAAAGATTACCGTTCGCTATTTACGGATGCATGCCTATAACTTCATTTTTAGGCGGCAATACTTGCCATAAATCATTATGCCTTGTGGTGCCTACCACCTTGTGCAAGAAAGAAATTGTTCTAGAGATCAAAATGAAAGGCACATTGTCCTGCTGCCCGTTTTCCGACCGTGTGGGTACCAAGTTACATGTTAGCATGTAACTAACGACCTGTTCAGTGGAGTTTTTTAAAATTTTTATTTTTTTGAATATTATTTATTAGTTATAAGTTAAAATTTTTATTGGAAGAAAATTAAAAAATTACTTTTAAAAATAATAAAAAGTGAGTAAGAAGTGAATAAAAATGAAATTTATAAAAAATAAAAGTTTGAAACTTTTCAAAATTCATTGGTTAATATCTTTTTAAAGTTAAAAAAATTAAAAAATGTAAGTTTTTAAGATAAAAATTTAAATTTATAAAATATAAATACTATCAACAAATTAATACACTTACAAATTTCACCACTTTAATCCTTTATTTTCAACTAGCATGAATAAATGAGCATAAGGAATGCATAAAAGTTCTTTCTCTTTATATGTTAAGTTCGTTGAGTGACATAAAAAGAAGTATGGAGTCATCCTCAATCCTTCTCAAAAGGATAAAGATGAGTCACATGTGGGGGAGATAACGTGCTTTGGTTATGGAGAAAGAAAGAAACCAGTGCGCATGAAGCTTGTGGTCCTCCATGTGGGACAGTTTAAGGCTGCAAACCATTGGCATACCTTAGGAAGCACGGACCCATGTAGTCACAAGTCGTACGCTTTGGACCGGGAGATGGGGGCACCAAACCTACTAACTTAATGATGTTGTGGTGCCTCCATTTGCCCATCACATTAAAGTGTCTATGCTTAACTTATAAAATAATATTTATTTATTAATAAAATAATTATATAAAAATAATTTTTATATAATTTTTATATATTATTAAATAAATATATTAAATATCATAAATTTTAAATAAAAAAATAATTATTTAAATAATGCATAATATATCAAAATATAATATAAAAAAATAATTCATAAATCATTTTTCTAATCAATAAATTTAGTTTGCAAGGTTAATATTTCAATAATTATAAGAGTCAAAATATTTTTATTAAAGATCTTAAATTTTAAAATTACTGTAAAACAGAATGGCTATCCTATCCTATATTATCTCATATATAATCATCACATGTATCAAAAGAAAAATAAAAACATCTGCATCAAAAGAAAAGGAAGAGTAAAACATCAGTTTACTTCTATTATCGAATAAGTAACTAAAATACCAACCTCTTTGTCAAAGAGCAAGTGGCCGCTATCGACATGATCAAGGTAGATTTTGGTTCCTAATACGGGTCAATTAAGTAAGTTTAGACAATAAGCTTGGTTGTCGCTCTATAATTGGCTGTTTTTAAGGATACTTAATTCTTAATTAAATGAACCGAGCATTTGTGCCCAATAGTTTCGATTCAAGTCTTAA